ATCCGCACAGCATGTTCTTGCCCACAAATAAACTCTCAGAGTCTGTTTCCAGCGGGGGCTTACAGGCCACCTCCCGTTTATTTGCACAACAGTGCTTTTATTTCCCAGTACCCTCTGTGTCCCTCAAGAGGTCCTCACTCACAGAGACGTCTCTTAAAAACCATCTGCTCCTGGCTTGAGAGGTTCAAAACACATTAAAAAAAATCCCCCCGGCATTTAAAATAAGATATTTTTTTAATACATAAAACCGCTAGTTTTGAAACTACTGCAGCAGAACAGTCCTCCCATTTCCACCCCCCTCCCAAAAAAAAAAAGAAAAAAAAATAAAAAGGAAAAACGAGAAGTTGCGTTGGCTCCACCTCAGAAAAGGGAGCAGAAACCCCCCCGCTTCCCGCCAAGGTTTCTCCGCCGGGTCTCGCGCCCTCCCGCAGCCGGGGCGGAGCGACTAACGCAGCCGTAACGTTATTAAAGGCGCGGGGCGGGAGGCCGCAGTGGCGGTGACGCGATGGCGACTTTCGTGCAGCTCAGCCGCGGGGCCAAGATGCCCATCCTGGGCCTGGGCACCTGGAAGGTAGCGACGGCCGCTGTTAGGCCGGGCCTTTCTTTCTTCTGCTTCTATGTTTGTGTGTGTGTTTAGCTGGGTTGGGTGGGGGAGCTTCGTGGTTTATTCCTTTTTTTTGTCGTTGTTTTTAGGAAAAAAAATGTATCTATCAGAAATTCTTTTATTTATTTATTTATTGCTTTTAGTCCCCCCCAGGGAAGGTAGCAGCTGCAGTGATAGCCGCCATCGATGCTGGGTACCGCCACTTTGACTGTGCCTACGTGTACCAGAATGAGAATGAGGTTGGGGAAGGAATCCAGCAGAAAATCAAGGAAGGCGTCGTGAAGCGGGAGGACCTCTTCATCGTCAGTAAGGTGGGGATGGCATGCCGGTCAGACCTGCCTTGGTGCGGTAGCCCCCTGGCACTTTGCAGTTCTGTTATGTGGAAGGATGGAGCAATTCGATGTGTTTGGGACACTCCTGAGATAACCTATTCCTCACTCTGTCCAAGTAGGCAGGTTGTGCACCTCATGTGGGTAACCCCATTTGAGTCTTTCCTCTTGTATGTAGTATCTGAACTCTTAACTAATGGAACCAAATTACTCTCTTTATCTGCCATCATCCTATTCAATTGTATATTGTCACTGCTTACATTACTTGGTATGGTGGGCCAGTTCTGCTCACAGAACAGCCCCACCTGAAGAGCAATTGGAAGACCTAATTCCATGTTGGCCGCTGAAGAAGACAGAAAGCTTTTCTCCTGCTCAGGAGAGCACTAGAGAGCTTTACAGAATCACAGAATTATTAAGGAAGAGACCTTTGTAGATCATCTAATCCAAACCCCACTTTAACTTACCAGGAGGTCACAGTGTGGCTTTGCTCTTTGTCTCCAGCTTTGGTGCACGTTCCATGACAAACCTCTGGTGAAGGGAGCGTGTCAGAAGACTCTTGCTGCCCTGAAACTGGATTACCTGGATCTCTACCTCATCCACTGGCCTTTGGGATTTAAGGTACAGTAACAGTATTGCTTCTGCATACCCTTGTCACTTATCACTGGCAGTTTTGAAGAACTTTACAACTCAGTCATTGCTCCAACCAGGAAAGATCATGCATCTGTTTGTATATCAACAGGGTTCTAGAGCTGCTTATTCAGCTTTACTCTTTCCAAGCAAGGCAGTATTTTGATCCATGCCTCTGAGTTTGCTGCTTATACAGTGTTTTCTGCCCTTGTGAGCCTGGGAGGGGCAGACCTAGAAGTAGGATCCTGTCTCCTACCTGTAGTCATGAGCTGTATTGATGCCTCTTAGACTGCTTATGTGCTGTCTTCTAGAAACCCAAAGTATGCTCCTCTGACATGACTCTATTGCCTCTTTGTGGGAAGTAGGTCTGTACTTCGCTGTCTGACAGAAAGTCTTTGAGTGTTACAGAATTGCAAAGCAAGAGCAAATGTTTCTATTTTCTATTTCTGTCTTTAATCACAGAGTCATTAATACAGTACACACTGACGTAACTTTTCCTGTAGGAACTTTACTGTTCTACAGACTTTGGAATTCAAAGGGTGAAGCTTCTTAATGATGAACTCTTTCACAGACTGTGTGCAGGAGTTCATCAAAAATTGCCATTGACAAAAAATTCCATTCTCCTTTTTGCTTACAAGTTCCTCACCGCTTTGCATAGTTTGCATGTTATTTTCGTATGGACATAACTATCAAGTGAAAGCACATTGTAGTGTAGTAGCATGGTATGAGGAGAAAACGCTGTTTTGAACAAACGTGAGATACCTGGTGAACTCATAACAAGGGCACTGCTCCAACTTTCCTGGAGCCACCAACTTAAACAGTAAGTCTCCCCATAGAATATCTGTCACTGTACACAGTGGACTCTTCAGCAGCTGTGGTCCAGTAGAAATCCACCATATGTTTCCAAGTCCTAAGTATGTCCTTATATCTTGTAATAAAAAACAAAAATATGCTGTCTTTGTGAGGGCATAATCAAGCAATAAAGAAAGCAAACTTGTATTTGGTTGCACCTCTCAGCTGTAATTCTGCAGATAAACACTCTGCTTGTATATATTTTGGTCAGCCAACACATTGTTGGCTCTGGTGGAAGTAAACGTCGTTATTACATTGATTGCTGGCAAAAGTGCAATAGCTCCACATGAAAGAGGAAAGGAATGACTAAAGAATGTAGATAAGGATGAGTATTTATATTTTCTGCACCAGAAGTTTGTTGTCTTAGTCCTCAGCTGTCATGACATTAAGCTAGCTTCCAAACATTGCTTGAACGGTTTTCTCTTGTGCTAACAGGCAGGAGAAGAGCTGTTTCCCACAGATGACAACGGCATGTCTATACCCAGCAACACTGATATTTTGCATACGTGGGAGGTAAGCTCAGCCACTGTGGGAGAATGATGTTTTCTGTCCTGCAGTCTTCTCCATGGATACTGGCCAATATCCAGGGTTGCAGAATTGTTGTCTGACATGCAGAGTTATTGGAAAGATTTGCTGGTACAGGAGTGGCTTATTAGGGATTGGTATTTTCCACTTCTAACTAAGTATTTGCAGTCTCAAAGAATGAGACTTTGGTCTTGGGTGGGATAGAAAACATGGCACAAATACGCCAGTGCTTCTTTTCCCCTCAAGGAATCAAGTCATTTTGATCCTTCTCAAGAAGGAAGTAAGCCAAGTCAGGAAAAATATCTTCTTCAGGCCCTGTCTTATACTTCTGGTGATGACTGTGCTGCCTTTTCTCTATTAGGGCATGGAAGAGCTGGTGGATGCTGGTCTGGTCAAAGACATTGGAATCTCCAACTTCAACCATGAGCAGATTGAGAGAATCTTGAATAAGCCAGGACTGAAATACAAACCTGCAAATAACCAGGTAGGCTACTAAGTGACTGCAGGTGATTATTCTTCAAGGATTGTCATTCAAGGATTGCCACGAACTGATCATCATATAAAATTTGAGAAAAAGGGAGAATGAAGTAGATGCAGTGTATACTCTTAATATAATCCTGTCACGATTTCTGGATGCACAGGGCAGTGTTATTTCTGATGGTTTGCTGCACTACTGCTAGAAAACTTGACAAGGAACAGCTACAGAACTTGTTTTTTTTGGGAGATGAGCTTTATAAAATTGACTTTCAGTAGAGTAAAACCCAACAGGTATACAGGGATTTATTAGAAAGACAGATGACTTTTTTGCTCTGATAACTTGCAACTCTTCCAGACTGCAGAGATTATGGTTCTTGTTGCTAACTCAGGAGTGAGGAAATGAACAGGAAGACTTTGTGGACTGTTTAACTTAATGAGGTTTGGGAGGGAAGATGGAAATGGTGTTGCAGGAGAGTCCGTGGATGAGAAATGTATGGGTATAGGGACAGCATTTGAATCAAACCTTAAGATTATAGAAAAACTGGGCTACAGAGAACCATAGGAGACCATCTAATCTAACCTGTAGCTCAGAAGGGTTGTTTTAGATCAGACAGACTGTACAGGTCTGTTCTGGTCCAATCAGGTCTTTAAAGTCTTCAAGGATGGAAACTGCACAGCATCACTGGGTAATCTGCTGTCCTGTTTAACAGCTGTCATAAGAACACTTTGCTACTTTTATATCCTCCGAACCCCTCTTGTTTCTTTTTATGCCTGTTTTCTCTTTTCCGTTCACCATGTACTATTGAAGAGTCTAGCTCACTGTCTTGTAGGTGTGGACAGGCTGCTATTGGGACCACTGAAACTTTCCCTTATCCAGGCTCTGCAGGCCCAGGTCTCTCAGCCTCTCCTGATACAGCTCTAGACCCCAACCATCCTAATAGCACTCTGCTGAACTTGCACCGGTTCCTCAGTCTTCTCTTGAGGTCCCAAAGCTGTACACAGTGTTATAGAGGTGCTCAGGCAAGGCCTGAATAGAGGGGGATGATCCCTTCCCATGGCACATTCCTAGGCCCACCCAGCCCCAACAGAACCTGGTGGTTGTCTGCTGCCAGTGCTGCTGCTGGCTAGCGTTCAACTCGCTGCCCTCCCTGCCATGACCTTTTCATCAGAGCTGTTCCCCCAGCAGTCAGGCTCCAGCCTGTGTAGTTGCAAGAGGCCTTCCCTCCCAGGAACATGACTCTGCTTTTGTCCCTGCTCAGTTTCCTGAGGTTCCCTTATCCCTGCAGCTGGTGTACCTCCCTCTAAAATGACAGCCTTGCCCTTGAGTGTGACTGATATTGAGTATTGACTGGTGCCTTAAGTTGTGTGTCATCTGCAAACTTGACAAGAGTACACAAGACAGGGTGTGTCCTAGGATAGATATTAACGCTTTTTTGAAAGCTAATGGGAGTTGTCTTTGGAAGTCTGTTCAACATACCTGAATTTTGCATTTGGCAAAATGCTTCATAACTCTTTTCACTATCAGGCTTTTGGATATATGATAGGAGTCTTTCTTATATTTCAACATCTGCCACACCTCATTACCAAGGAACTTTGTAAATGTTAATTACCTGCCCCTTCATAGGGGATACTAACCTTTATCATATCTTCTGTGCCTACAACTCTTCTGAAGTCTGATTATAGTAAAAGAGTTAAATTCAGAGCATTTGGTTTCAGTCTGTGCTTCAAAAATACAGTTCTTCTGAAGAAAACTTGCATGCCTTAAATCTTGTCTTTTAAAAGAAGATAGTTCTTACCACAAAACTTTTTCTACTCTTACTTGGCTTGTGTGTAGTCTAGGTTGCATTTCATGTGACACTCACACTCTTAAATTATACATGCAGTCAGTATCCATATCAGTTTAATTCAGAGAAATGAAGCTGGCAAGATAGCAAGCACATTGTGGTGAGACTACTTTAGTTCAGAATGGAGTTTAACAGCAGTTTAAATGTACTCCATAGGCTCTTCACTTTGGTCCAAACATAAGACTTGATAATTTAGCTTGGAAACTCTTTGGCTAGAGTTACAGTGGAGAAAAAAAGATGAATTTGGATTTTACCCTTTGTTTCAGATAGGTACAATTTTTGATATGTTGAATACTTGAGAGAAACTGTTCAATTAAATGCTCTGTTACTGTAGGAATGGTTGAGTTTCTGGAGCTGCTGAGGCCAAGTAAGTATGTTATTATTTGTCCCAAAAACTGAGTTACACATTCTGTGTCTAATATTCCAGCATATCCTGGAAAGGAAACAGCCACACAGAGTTCTAGCAAGAAGCTAGAACCAAAAAAAAAAAAAACCAGGCTGTAAACTGATCCCATGTTTTAGTGTCTCTTGCTCCACCTGCCAACAG